AGTATGAACCATTCAAAATTGTGATTTCCTTCCCACCTCTACATTCTGAAGCTTATTCTACCACCTCATTCTGCTACATGTGTGGACCAGACCTAAGATACCTTTTATAAGAGAATAGCCCCCACACATTGCAACCCTCCCAGTCAGATCTCCCATCTTGTATTTTCCCCCCATTTCTCCCATCTGTATACTTTTAAAAATCTGCCATCTGGTTGTTCTTCCAAAAGACATTCTACTAATTAATGAAAAACATAGCTGTTTTTAGAGAGGAGGAAATAACAGTAAGATTCTGAGAGGTACTGTTTTGTTGCATGTCTTGCTTTGTGTATATTAATATGCAAATATTAAGGGTAAGACAATTTAGTGCACAAAAAGTGTAAAGGGTGAGATGCCCTTTCTCCAGCTCTCCTGCTCCTCACCACGGTTTGTGATCAAGGTTTCCCACTTTGGGAGCCAGAAGAAGACAGAAAACAGTGCAATTCTAAGAACATTCCTGGGAGTAAGTCCCACTGAATAAGCTTCAGTAGGAACCTCAGTAGACCTGTTTCAGGATTGCGCAGTGAATTATTAGATAGAAAAGCAAGTTACTCATTCAACAATGTAGATTTAACTTCTAGACCTCATTACAATAAGATATGGTTGTTGCCGCTAGCATAGATGGTTTTTAAAAGAGCCAGTGCAGGGTACTGGTCAGACTGGGATCTGGGTTCAGTTCACCAGCTCTGTCATGGAAGCTCACAGGATGACCTTGGGCCATCCAGTAACTTTCTCACCATCACCAGTTTGGTGTAGTGGTTAAGTGGGTGGACTCTAATCTGGGAGAATCGGGTTTGATTCCCCACTCCTCCACTTGCAGCAGCTGGATGACCTTGGGCAAGCCATAGTTCTGTCAGAGCTGTTCTCTCAAGGACAGTTCTCTCAGAGCTCTCTCAGCCCCACCTACCTCAGAGGGTGTTTGTTTTGGGGAGGGGAAAAGAGTTTGTAAGCCGCTCTGAGACTCTGAGTGAAGGGCGGGGTATAAATCCAATCTCCTCCTCCTTCTTCTTTTTCTTCTTCCCTCACAGGGTAGTAGTCAGGACAGAATGGAGGAAGGGAGAACAATGTTGTAAGCTGCTCTGGGTCCCCATTGGGGAGAAAAGTGGGGAAGAAAAATCTAAACAAATTAAATAAATAAAGGATTACACAAGTTCACGAGGGTTACGTCTCATCAATGGGCATCAACTAGACAGTTAAATACAGCCTCCATGTACAGAAGCAGCATGTGTATGAATATCGGATTCTGAGGACAAATGCATCGCTTGTGAACACCTGGAGGCAACTGGCTGGCAGCTGCTGGAATCAGAATGGTGACTGGAATGAGTGACGCTCAGTCTAATTCAGCATGCCAGTGCTTATGTTCTGAGTAATTCGGATGAGTAGCCTCCAGCTTCATATTATCTCACTGCAATACTTTTCCAGGTATTTTTTCCCACCTGTTTGGTTTTGGTGTTTTTTTGCCATCAAATCACAGCTGACTTATGGTAACCCCATAGGGTTTTCAAGGCAAGAGGTGTTCAGAGGTGGTTTACCATTTGCCTGGCTCTGCACCATGACCCTGGTATTCCTCGGAGGTCTCCCTTCCAAACACTAGCCAGGGTCAACCCTTGATCTTAGAGTTCCAAGATCAAAGGAGCTATCCAGGTCAGGGCAATGCTCTAAATCATTGCTGTTTTTGAGACAACCTGTGCAGAACAGGCAGCTGTCCCTGGACTGTGATGATGGAGAGTTAAATGGAAAAGCAAAGCCCAAGGCCTGCTCCCCACCCCAAAGTGGGAGAACAATCCAAGGGTGCTGAAAAGGAACACCATTTATTAAATGCTGCTTTAAAATCCAACACATAACTGTTTGAAGCTTTTGTTCTCCATCAGAGATATTTTCATATGCAAGGGAAAGATGACTTGCTTTGCTAGCAGTAGTAAAAAAGACACAGAGCATTTTCTGGCGGTAGAGAGTTAACAGAGCAGCCCTTCAGTGCCTCAGCCCTACTGGAGCCAAGACTGGATTCTAAACAACGTGGTATATGATCTGCTTCACGGAAGTTCGTGCCCAGGATTCAGCAATGCAGGATGAACTCCAGCAAGAAGTGTGGCAAGAATAGCTTTCTCATAAGCATCCCGGGCAAAAAGTCATGCATGGGTTTAAGCAAGGCAAGCAACAAGCAGCTGGCATATCGCAGTGAGAATATCCAAGAACGGGCAGCATCAGAATTCCACTTTGTCAATCTCACAGTGAAGTCCTACGCAGAGTTACTCCAATCTATGCCCATTGATTTCAGCCTGGAGGAACTCTGCACAGGATTGCACCACAACTAGGTTCCCCAGTGGCACCTCACAAATGCACTTGTAGGCAGTTTGCTCTTTGCTGATGCTTATTCTCACTCAAAATCCTAAAGATTTGTGCCAGCACATCTACCTGTGATGCTGGTGCATAATGGTTGTACTGCCAGCACAGCCGTATGTTTTCTGTTCTTGTGCTGGGGTATTTAGGTATTCAGAGGTCCCGTTCACACGCGGCGATTTGGTCCGGGAGCGGGCCAGTTCGGGGCCGGATCAAACCGGCGCGATCACACCACCACATCTGGGAAGCGTCCTGCTTCCGCACCCGAACTGGCCCAAACCCGGGAAGAACCGCCGCAAAATGAACCACCTACCTTGGGTGGTTCAGCGCCGCGTCTTTGGCGACGGCCCACCCCCGGGCCGGAGCCGAACTGCGCATGCTCGTACATGCGCAGTTCGGCCGGCCCCCGGGTAGGCCCCCGGGGAAAAAAGGCGGCGCGGCCGGGGGATCCGGGGGATCCCGCCGCGCCGTGTCAACATTGGCGCGGCTTTTAAAAGCCGCGCCTTCAAGCGCCTTTTCCCCTGCGTGTGGCAGGGGCCAGAATATACTTATCCCATCCTTCCTCCAAGGAGTTCAGGGTGTTAGTTTTCTCCTCCTCCATTTTTATCCTCACAACAACAACCGTGTGAGGTAGATCTGGAGAAGAAAGAAATTGTATGGGGATTTGAATTTGAGTCTTCTAGATTCTACTCCTACACTCTGACCACTACACCACACTGTCAGTAGCCCCCAATCCATCCAATTACAAGCAGTAGCTCTTAGGATCAGGATGCTCCCTCATCTCTAGAATAGCAGTTTTAAAGGGACAAAATAAGTCGCCCCCATACAGTTTTGAACTGGTCTGATGTATGACTCCAGTGAAGACTGTGTGAGGCGCAGCAAACTACTTTGCCAGCACTTACCTCCCCAGACTTTCCACAAAGCTAATGAGCAAAACTAGGGATCTGTTTGATTCAAGAAAAGAAGGCTATAATGTGGAAGAACCTTACTTGGGACCAGAGAATATTTTGAGCATCAGTGCCAATCTAAGTAATCAATGCCAACAAACATCAAATGAAATTAATTCAGCAGATCAGTTTTCCTTTATTCGGGAATAAACCACAATTGAACTCAGTAGAACTTCTGAGTCAACACACATAGGACCAGACGACTCACATTTTTATAGGCAAGAATGATCCTCCATGCAAATATCAACAATTCAACATCTTCAACAATATCAACAATTTCATGTCTATAGATCAAGGCAAGTAAGCATGAGCTACTGACCAAGACTGAGATTATCCCAACTCTTCTTCTGTTCCTGAGTCTGGTGAGAGACCTTGACCATAAACTATTCCTCATCTGTGAAACCAGATGTTTGTGAAGCTAAACTATAAGATATGATATGGAAGGGAAGGGATGGATTTGGGAAGAAGCCACAGATAATTAGTACAGCACATGCACATTTGTGTGCACAGAGCCATAGGTGCAATCCCTAGCATCTCATTAAAAGGATCTCCACTCATCATGCTGTGAAGAATCCCTGCTTCAGACTCTAGCTAGATTTGACTTGATGCAAAACCATGTCATAAATAAATGCAATCCTAAAACCACTGACTTCAATAAAGGGTGTAACTTTGCACTGTTCACTTCTGAAGCTCAAAGGATGCCATGTACTCCTGAGTGGAACTGGAGTGAGTGGAACTGGAGATGGGCATACATTGGAATGACATTAGGGAGGCTCTCTGGGGTTCAGGCAGAAGACTTTCTCAACTTCTGGGATCTTGCCAAGTTATTCATGATAACTGCACTTACTTCAGCAACACTCCCCCCCCCTCCATCAGTAAACAGCCTCTCGAATTTCATGTGCATCACTCGACTATGCTAGGTTTGCTTTTCTTTTTCACACATCCTTGCCAACACAGTGTTTTGCCATAATCCCCCACCCCCATAGCATCTTTGGGGGGAAAACAACTTTGGCTGAAGTAACCTTGGCCAGTTTCTTCTATACTTTGCAGTGAACAAGGAGGAATCAAGATGCCCTGCAGCCCTTGCCTGATCCTCTTTTCCTATTACCTGCCATGACAGAAGCACCATCTTTTGTATCTGGGCAAACATGTTATCTGTCTCCCGAAGAGTCATTCCGTCCTAATGACGCCCCACGCTACTTCCGGTTGTCCCCCCCCATATGAATCCACGAACTACCACTTACTACCGAATTACTATGAAAAGAACTACAAGTAAATAAAGATGTAAAAGATCCGACTGCCCCTGCAACTGAGACGGAAATCTCATTTAACTGATGTCCGGGGAGGTAAGGCTGGCAACAGGCTGCTTACATACAAACCGGTGCTTGAAGTCTCTATAGTTTTTATCTAGTTTATCTACTTGTTGCCGGCCTACAGACTCGTCTGTTCGAAACAGCGACGCTACCCTTAAAGCAAACTGTCTACAAGAAGTGCAGTCCCAAGCCCCCAACGGAGGAGAAGATCGGAGAGATGTCCTATAATGCGGTTGGCCACCCCAGAGACGACTCCAAGTCTCTGTGCTTTGCTTAGGAGAGCCAATTCCCGCGGGGAACCCGGCTTTGCAGGAGGGAAAGCAAGAGGTCGAGAAGCATATGATGAAAACGAAAGAGCACCGACCTCAGCCAGCAGTTGGTCCACCCTTCCCAAAATAGCCGTCTCCATTTGGTCTGCGGAGAGCCAAGCAGGGAGCGACGTGGATCCGTCCGCCTCCAAATGCGCCACCCGGGCTTGCAGGTCCGCCGTCCGGAAGTAGAGCAGCAGGCTCAGCACCAGGGAGAGGAAAGAGACGCCGGGCAGCCCCGACGCCAGCAGCGGAGGCACCTTGCAGCGCCGTGCCCCATCCCTCGTCCGGGGCTGGGCGGCGAGGCAGCCGCTCTCCAAGGCGCCCCCCGGCGCGGCGCCCTTCTCCTCCGCCATGCCAGCGGCGGCCCAATAAATAAATCAATAAATAGGGGAATAAATAAGGCGCGGAGGTCTTCCTCGCAGCAGCACCGGTCCGACAGAGCAGCGTCCACGGGGATCCCCGATGCCACGGGAGTAGCGCAGGCAGGGAGCGGTGTAAAAGAAGGGAGGGGGGAGATGGAGCAAAGATTTTAAAAAAGAAAGGAAATCAAACTTCAAAAAGTTGAGGATATTTTTTTTTTTTGCAAGGGAGGGGGCAAACGGTCTGTGAAGATCTGCCTCCTTCAGCTTTCTTTGTGGCTGTCTTTCCTCCACCCCCCCCTTCTTGTGTTTTGTCAAGCGCTTCAGTTCCTTAGCGGAGCAGGACACGGATAGAGCCTGGAGGTCCCCACGAGAGAGAGGTCACTCTCAACTGACTGGGAAGTTGGACGGTGGCTCTCACTGCCTCTCTGTAACATGACACACACACGCGCGCTCTCTCTCCCTCTCTCTCCTTGGCTCAGATGAGCGGGCTGCGCCGCTTCCCAAAGTAACCTCCTCTGCTCTCTCTGCTGCGATGATTTATTTATTTATGCAAAACGGCTGGGTGTGATTGAATCCCGGGGCTCCCGCCCCCTCCAAAGCCCCACCGGTCCTTAAAGCGCCTTTCATCAGCTCCCCTTTGAAGTGACACCCAGGGTAGTCATTTACAGCCGTCAGGGAAGCAATTGTGAGGTAGAGGGCGCAAGACTAAGGCGCTGGGTTGCTCTGCGGTTTGTTTTGATTTTCATTGCCTCCTCCATGGAAGACTTTAGGGGACGGGCAGCCCACCACTTCCAAACTGGTCTGCAGCTCTTCAGAGCAAGTTGGACCTCAAGAACTTGTACTTAGTGTGCTGGCCCCCTAGTTTGCTCAGAAACTTTTGTATGTTTGGAAGTCTGTGGCATCAGTCTTCTCAGGTGGGTTTGCTGGAGTGTAGCAGCCATAAACCCCTGTGTAGGGTGGTGGGATGGACTCAGTACACTAGGTGTGCTAGAACATAGAGCCCTTACTATGATGAAACAAAGGCTCTCTGGTGAGTTGAGCATGTTTAATCCCAGTCCAGTCGCTTCACAGATCAGAGCATGGTAACAGCTTTTACATTCCCAGATACAGAGATTGTTCACATTTTAGTCACCGTCCCAGCACAAAGAGTTGAGCAGCCATCAGAACATAAACAGAGTCCTGCTCTGAATCAGACCAACGGTCTATCTAGTCCAGCATCCTGTTTCACACACTGGTCAGCCAGTTGCCCTGAAGGGCCAACAAAGGACACAGAGACCAAGGCCTTCCTCTGTCGCCTTGCACTGGAATTCAGGACTTTGCTGCCTCTGACTATGGAGGGTCCCTTTACTCACCATTGCTAGTAGTTGCTGAGGGACCTCTCCTCCATTAATCTGTCTTATCCCTTCTTAAAGCCATCTATGCTCATGGCCATCACTATATCCCCTGGCAGTGAATATCAAAATAATAACTCACTGAATATAGAATATTCCATTTTGTCAGTCCTGAATTTATTATGCATCATTTTCATTGGGTACACCAAAGTTCTAGTATTAGAATTATACATAATTTTATAAAACTTTATTATGTCCTCCCCTTAGTCATCTTTCCCCCCTAAACTTTAAAATCTCATACCCTTTAGCCTTTCTACATAGGAAAGGTGCTCCTATCCGTTAATCCAGAAGTATCAAACTAGAAGGGGTATGGGAACATTGCCTACAGATGGACAAGCCCACAAGAGGGAAGCCAGCATGTCTTGCATCCAGTGCCAAAATTAAATATAAAAGTGATTGCTGCTCAAAGCAAAAATAATATCTAGAGGTGTTACGTGGAAGGGGGGGCAAATATCTGGAACAAAGAGGAGTTGAGAAACATGAAGAGAGAAGAGGTTGGATTTATACCCCGCCCTTCACTACCCAAAGGAGTCTCAGAGCAGCTTACAAATGCCTTTCCCTTCCCCTCCCCACAACAGACACCCTTTGAGGTAGGTGGGGCTGAGAGAGCTCTGACAGAAATGGCTCTTTTTCAAGAACAGCTGTGCCAGAACTATAGCTCGCCCAAGGTCATCCTGCAGGTGCAAGCCATCATTGCTGCAATTCTTGTACGCTCTTTGGGAATGAATCACAACAATGTTGAAGGTATCTGCAGCAATGAGAGCCGGGAATGTTGATTCAGCACTGAAACTTTCTGAATGTGCTCCCTGATACCTGCCACAGTAGCAGGTAAACAACTGGAAGGGAATCGCTTTGGTGGGTCCTAATATTCCTTGTGTTCATTTCCCAACCAGACTTGTGAACCTTGGAACTCCAGGAACTGATTTAATTTCTGCCCAAAAGCCAGGAACAGTTCCAAGATAATGCTCATACTTCAATGGAGTGTTCTGGAATTGTTTATGCGAAGCAATCATATATGGAAAATGCTGAATCAGGGCTGAAAATCCCTGTGGGTATTGCAGTAGTTTGGCCAAGACACAGGAACACAGCAGACTGCTCCAGAGACAAGTGACCAGATTGAGTAGATGGTGTCTTACAACTTTTTGTCACCTTCAAAATGAGGCAAAATATGCATTTATAAAGACAATGTCATGTTATTTGGTAGGCAGTTCCGTGGTGGGATGCAGATTGATGATGGGAACCAGGAGCTGGGTGCAAAAGTGGAAATGGGTATGTTGAAGAAAAGGCTTGGTTTGCTGATCACAGGTCATCCAAAACATTTAAAACTGTAGGTGACCTGATCCAGAATTGCTTCTGGATGATCAGGAGTCTTAGTTAAGAGCCAATCATGAACCAAAAGACACTAGAATAGAGAAGTGAATGGAAAATAGTTGAAAAGTCTAACATGTGAAAACAAGAAAGCCATTTCATAAAGACCATTAATCAGAGGCATGATTTTCTGAGCATTCCAGGCAGAATGAACATCCTATACCTGGACTCAAAAAGACGTGGGTGTGGATTCCAATCTCACGGGTAGGGAAAGCAGCACTTGAAAGCTGATTCTATTCCATCACAGTTTCCACATGTATGCCTATATTGAAATAATTCCAAAGCATTCCTGTAGAGAAAGTATATTATGCTGGATTCAGTCTCTGGATATACCTATATCCTGTTCCAGCAGCAGGTTCACACGTTTTCTAAAACATGGGATTTGTCCCATCTCTTTAAACTGTAACACAGAAACACTAAAAGTGAAAACATGGGACCAACAAAAGGGATCCCAAAGAAACTCCACTGGAAATACATATCTGTCACACAAAGTGTGTTTGTGCGGAAGGGTGTTGCCATGTAACACCATCTTGGATTTATAATTTCATAAGCAAGAGAAACCTGGACTGAGCAAATAGTGTGTAATAGGGACTGTATTACATCGTGACCCAAAGTGATGCCAGTTGGAGACAAACCCAGTAGAAGGAAGCCTTCCTGAGATAATGTGCCACAGTTCCTGAGGTTACCTACCCTCTTACCTGCTGTAAGATGGACCAGCTCCCTAGCCACTTGAAGCACTGAAAACCAGGCAGATGCCATATCAAGGCAACAAAGACTCAAACTTCATGTGGAGTTTCTTCCTGCACACGTAGGCAATGCTCCCCCCTCCTCCAAATTGACTCTCCTCACTGAAGCTGCAGCCAGAAGACAATAGAAGACTATCAATGACAATGACTCTGGCCGCATGAGTCATAATCCCATCAGATGCCACTTCCTTGCCCAGAGTTACTAGAGTTCAATATTGCCCACTCCCCTAGACCCTTCCCCCTTGAACCCAGTACCAATCAGCATGTTTTTGGGATGGACTAGTAGGAGGTGGGCCAAGATATGTGACCAGTTTAGGCCACCCCCAAGAGACATGTGACTAGGACATGTGGCCAGCCTGGCTTAACCCCCCAAGCCCCCCTCATAAAAGGGGACACCCAGCCATGTGGCCCCTCTCTTCCTCTGCACCCTACCTATCTTGCTGACTCTGGATTAGCTACCCAAGAGTCTTTCCACGTGTCTTGGTTGGTTCAAGATATGACCCCATTTCCCTATAGTCTATCTCATTCTTCCCAAGGATTGCTCCATCTCGTTGGACAGGTAAATATTGCCCACCAACGATCATCCTGCTAATGCGAATGTGCTATCCACATATCTCTAATTTTCCTAGCTCTGTATAATTGTGTGTGTGCATGTGTATTGTTTGGTTGATCATTTTATATTGGAAACCAGCCTGCGTGTCTATTTCTGGTTCTTGGAAGAAGCGGGACCCCTGTATATAAAGGTGTTTGCTCCCTTATAGCCTATTGCCATTTTAAATACATTATATTCCCCAATATTGATAAGAACTAAGAACAATAGGCTAACAAGGGAGAACCACCATCATAAGAACAGAGAAACTTTGAAGAAAGTGCTGATTCAGGACATGATTGTCAGGTCCTTAGCTAAGTCACATTCCACACACACTATTGGCAGTGAAATATTTATTAGGGATATGCTTGCTGTAGATTCAAGAGCTCTTGTTAGGACTGAAGAAAACCGTGGGAACTTACAGGTTATAGATAAAAGCATAAAATTCCACATTCATCCACGTCACACCTACCCCCTAGCATTTCTATGGCAATATGGACAGATATCTGGTGCCCTATTTAAACTAGGTACGGCACAAAGATTCACCAAGGTCAGTCCCATGAGAACCAAGACTTGGGGCACAACTTCAGAAATAATTATGGCTACTACTCCCATACGCTCTCACCCCCCCCCCCCCAGGAATTCAAGATGACAAGCCTGAGCTTGACAACGATGCTCTCTCATCCAAAACAATCCCAGACCAAACTGAATACCAATTTCCAAATGGTGATCATCCTTTGCAATGTGAGTTGCATTTCAGGACTGGATTACAAGGTGCAGTCAGATGAGGGAGTGGGGTATGTTCTAGATCATATGGGTCATTCTCTGCTCATATGGGGGTAAGGCTTATAGGTTGGGCCTGTAGAGATTGTGTGTGCACCGAATAAGTTGTTCCCA